CAAATTCCCACGCGTGAATTGAGCATTAGCGCAGCACGTTACTATCGCGATACTTCATCTTGGATTCATGTGTGGGCGTGTTCATTAAAGATCGTTCGTCAACACACATTCTGAATAAGATCAATTTTTATATTAGATATTTAGAGAGAATTTATATTTAAAGAGAATATTCAGAGAAAAACAATCTCTTGGAATTTGCGTTCGTCGCTCTATATGTATCAGAAAAAAATATAAGATTGGAATAAATATATATATCATAAATTTATCACGAAATTCCAATAAATGGTAAAACATCTCTGGCAAGGGAATGTTCTCTTAAAAAGGATCGACCTTTTCAATCGAACATGATGCTCCGAAATGCTCACAAACCTGCGTACGGTAGCTCGTTCATTCAAACCTCTGGTTACACCAGAGTTTTGTCTCACCACCGCTTCGATCCGAATATTATTACGATATTATTTCGCGAAGAAGGAGGTGAACAAGGAGGGGGCAGGGGGAAGAAGGGGGAGGGAAGGAGAGAAGGGGCAAATGGAGATGGAGGAGAAGAGTCACTGATCTGGCGTTTTGACATTGTCCTCTTCAACACTGGTCGCAGACGGTCATTCAGATGTCACTTGCGACGTTATGTAATAATATCGAATGGACGGTGCGCTGCCCTTCCGGAGCTATCGAGTTTAGAATCGGGTATTATGTCTTGAAGAATGTCAGAGAAATTTGAATGGATTCACTTTCATACTTTGATTTATATGCCTTCTAAAATCCTAAAGAGGAGTCCCCTGTAAATCCTAATCCCACCCTGAGAAAAGCGAAACAAGAATTGAGTCTTTCGTGACTGGTGCGTGTATCTTTTTATTAAGTGACACTAAAAAGGAAGAAGCATCAAGTTTAAGGAAGATAATACATCTACGTGCGAATTTTAATTCCAATTCACCCGCAGAATGACCTAAACCAGTTGTGCATACACTGTTTGCACAAAAAATAAATTGGATAAAGTTAAAAATTAGCAATCACCACAAATTATAATGTAATGTATTATTTCTTCTTTTTTTTTTCACGAGAACACGACATTATTTATTTCGTTGACCTCAGCAGCTCCTTGCATATTAAGCACCTTGCTAATTCCTTGGACTGCAATCTTTTCCGGTTTTCAACTAACCGTTACAATACCGCTAAATAGTCTTGTTTACAGTTGTTAACGTTGTTAACGTGCGTATCACGAGAATAGGATTATCACTTCAGGATGTCAAAGGCTCGATGACATTGAGCCACAATTGCGCTCTTTATTGAACCCCCTTCGATCAGATCAGGATTAGTGTCGTATACTTCTATCAGTCTCACGACGAATCTCGATACGGATATGGCGGAAGGGTGTAATATGCAATCAGCGACCGAGACAATTAATGAGAAATCAGCCAAAAACCCCGCTGAGAAACAGCCAAGAGTGAGAGCGGAAAAGAACGCGACGAGATGGTGGAGCTCCTGATTGAGGGCGTGTCACTTTGGTCCTTCGACATACGGTTTTCATTTTGATTATTCGCACAAATTACTATTATTTGCTTCGAGAGATCCGAGGCCTAAGACAGCAGAGATGACGAAATAATCCCCAATTTCGAATACGATTCGAATGGTGATTAACAGACCTAACCTAAGAAACCTAACCTAATTTAATGGAGCCGTTGCATCAGCAAAAAAGCCACCTTCTGGAGCACCACCGAAACGACCAACAGTATCAGAGAGCACTTGGCCGTAGAGTTCTACAAATTGCACGATGAATCGAGGCCGTAAGTTTGTGACGACAATGTCGTTACACGATACGATGTGTACGTCTCTCTTTCACACACGCGCGCGCACGCACACACACACCACACACACACACACACACACGCACGCACCACACACGCGCGCGCGCGCGCACACGCATACATACACACGCACACGCACACATACACCGCATATGTACATCATCACGCTTTCGCAAGACTGCTACTCTTGAGCTGTTCGATATCGTCAAAGAATGTCGGCGGACGAACTCAACGCAGTTTCAACTCGGTTTAATCGAAAAACGTCAATGTTAGGTATTCAGTAATCGTCGCAGCAAGAATTTAGTTGTGTATACGTTTAACAAAACGACGCCATCACCCTTGTCTTATTCCGTCCGATATCGGCCATGGTATGTCAGCAGTTGAGAGAGAGAGAGAGAGAGAGAGAGAGAGAGAGAGAGAGAGAGAGAGAGAGAGAGAGAGAGAGAGAGAGAGAGAGAGAGAGAGAGGAGAGAGAGAGAGAGAGAGAGAGAGAGAGAGAGAGAGAGAGAGAGAGAGAGAGAGAGAGAGAGAGAGAGAGGAGGAGAGAAGGAGAGGAGAGGAGAGAGAGAGAGAGAGAGAGAGAGAAGGAAGAGAGAGAGAGGCAGAGAGAGAGAGAGAGGAGGAGGGGGAGAGAAGAGAGAGAGCGAGGGAAGACAGGAGGAGAGAGAGGTAGAGAGAGAGAGAGGCGAAGAGAGGAGAGAAGAGCGATCTGGAGATCTCGGTTCGTCCTGAATCGATGGAGGAGGGCTTGATAACACCCGCAAGTGGTCGTCATTGATGTTAACTGCGTACGATGAAGATAGACTCTTTCAGCCTTTGAAGATATTAGAGCCGAGCAGAGAGGAAAGGGCGAAAAACCAATTCCTAGTCTGGAGATTTCTGTCATGTATTTTCTTACTACAGGTAGTAGAGGAAGTTTCATGAAATTTTGATTTTGATACACTAGGAAGGTCGTAAAGTATTAATCTTGGTAATTTGAAAGACCTCACTTTGATTAACGTGATCCCAGTGAATGGGTAGTTCAAGGAAGAATATGGAGGGAGGGAGGGAGGGAGAGAGAGAGGGGGAGAGAGAGAGAGGGAGAGAGAGAGAGAGAGAGAGAGAGAGAGAGAGAGAGAGAGAGAGAGAGAGAAGAAGAAGGGGGGAAGGAGAGAGAGAGAGAGAAGAAAGAAGAGAGAGAATATATACGATTCTACTTTGCCCTAAAAGAGCTTACGTGCGGCCGCAGTGAGTTCGTAGTGATTGAACTTTACCACGCTCTATAAATAACGATCGTCCATCCTTCCGCTACTTCCACATCGCGCGTAATTAATCGATCCGTCTGAAGAGTCAGAACCTGGAAATAAAACGGCGACAAGCACACGTCTGTATCTCGTTCCGTCGCTTGTTCGTTTTGAATTACGTGTCACGTGAGTCGAGAAGTTAATCTTTTGTCTTGTGTCAGAACGGCGTGGCGGCGAGATTCGGGCGAGAGACGACGTACGGATTTTGAGGCTTCCACTCGAGAGAAGAAGAGAGGCGCAACCTTGCGACCCACCAACGAACGGACTTGCGTGCCCACGGCGCGCAATCTGCGCAGAAGCGCGCTGAGAAAATCACTAAGCGTATTTGCATCGGGCGGAACGAACGACAAGATCGAACAAGATCTTCGCGACCGCGGCTGATATTATCTTGAGATGATCGGCTGCAAGCAACGTTCCATGGGCGATATCTATAATTGACGGCTGAGGGAGTGACTTCCGGATGAAAGTCGCTTTATACGAAAAGACGACCAAGTCCGGTCTAAACAGAAATTTCGGTAACAGACGGAGTCGTACGATGCTTTCAGCAGACCGAGATAATTGTTGCAAAAACTGTCGATGATTTTTCTTCAAAATCACTTAAATGAGAGAGAGAGAGAGAGAGAGAGAGAGAGAGAGAGAGAGAGAGAGAGAGAGAGAGAGAGAGATTTAACCATCCGTGGCCGCATTGACATTTTGGCGAGCAGCAAGATGACGTATGATTCTGTCAGAGAAGAGGCGCGTGCGTGAGAAACTGTGACAGCGTACTTCAGTCGGAGGAAATTTTCCGACAAAACTAGAAAGAGAACTTTACAGAAGATGTACAAGTAGAGTACTTCAAAATTTTACCATGGGGTTAGGTACGACGAATCAGCGAACGGAAGGAGAGAGAAGCTGCACAGAAGCAGCTGGCAGCGGAAGAAGCAAAAAGTGCAAGGAAGTTTTCAAGCATATATTTCTCGCTTTTCTGATAATATAATACTGACAGAACTGATCATTGAGAAACCCCACAGAAATCCGCAAGCGACACACACACACACACACACACACACACACACAGAGAGAGAGAGAGAGAGAGAGAGAGAGAGAGAGAGAGGAGAGAGAGAGAGAGAGAGAGAGAGAGAGACAGACAGAGAATAAAAGAGTAGGGAAGAGAGAAAAAGAGGGCGACACATAGGCGAGAAAAAGAATGAGGAAGAATAGTAGAGATAAAGGAAGAGCTAGAAAGAAGAGAAAGATAGGGATAGCAGAGCTTTTTAAAACTTCCTTTCTTACACACACACACACACACACACACACACGTTATGTCCTCCTCTCTCTCTCTCCCCCTCCTCTCTCTCTCTCTCTCCCATTTTATCCTGTCCCTTAGATCGAAGTGCCTGTTCGATAGCAGACAGAAACTAGCCTTTTTCATACCCCCCGCTCTCCCATTCTCTCTCTCTCTCTCCCATTCTCTCTCTCTCTCTCTCTCTCTCTCTCTCTCTCTCTCTCTCTCTCTCCCTCTTTCACCATCCACCTCCCATCTATTCTATTTCGTAAAACTGAATTCGACCTGCGCTTCCACCATGACGAACTACAGAGACGAAAGCTCCGCGAAGTGTGTTACCGAAATGTTATGTCACCCGCGAATACTACCACTCCAGATCTGTCACTCAAATCAGCTGTGTCCAAGCAAACGGAGACAGTCTGCTACCACACTGTCTGCCTGCTAGCTGCAGTAAGCGTTCTCGTAAGCTCCGTTCTCCGTTCTCCCGTGCGAGCCCTGACAGGAGCTTTCCGCACGATCTGTTAAAGGCCGCTGTGCTGCTAGCAGCTTACCTCTTGAAGCGCACGACAATCGGTCTCTTTTATCTCTTTTTTCTTTTTCACTCTATCGTCCTCGCTCTCCCACTTTCTCATCAGAATTCTAAGCACAAACCTTGTCACCCATGGCTGCGGCGAGCGGTATTCAGTGAAACAGAGGATTTACAACGCGACTTCAGGTGGACCAGAGACTGACTGGCGTTTTATGTCGCCGAGGACCGCTGGCATCATCGACCCGTATTCCCCACCATCGCGCATCTACCCCCGCCAAACCAAAGCGCCCCACTCCTTCCTCTCTAGCCCTCTTCTGTGTTACCAACGGTGTTCATCCCGAGCGTCATGACCCATCTTATTTCTCTCTCTCTCTCTCTCTCTCTCTCTCTCTCTTCTCTCTCTCTCTCTCTCTCTCTCTTCTCTCTCTCTCTCTCTCCCTCTCTTTCTCTCTCTCTCTCTCTTAGTCGTCTGATCGCATCTACATGTAGGATGAAGAGTGAAAAATTCTTTTTTTCCTCAAATCCCATACGTGAAATGAAGAGACACGTCGAAAAACCGGGATTGAAAAATCGATGCAATTCCCTCCGGTCCAATTTCTTTGGTCGTTACTAACATATGCGTACTAGCGAAAGGAGAGAGAGAGAGAGAGAGAGAGAGAGAGAGAGAGAGAGAATTATGTAGAGAACGGTCACCTTCACCATTTACGAACGTACGAATCATTTACCATACGGCATAAAAATTTAAATCGACAAAAAGGGCAATAATTTTAATGACTCGACTGGAAAGAGATCGAAAAAATTCCTAATTTTAGCTGAGTTTCTAGCATTTCACAAATTTGATCTATCATGCGAATAAAGTAGTGGTAGATCTGATTTTCAAACGAGTTGTCAAAAAACTTGTCATTCGCGGTGACACAGGAAGTTACGAATGTCCATGCCAATTAACAAGAGTTACCTAGAAGCTAGAGGGGCGCGCGCGCACGCCACCACCCAGGCGGGCTCGCCATATTCCGCAACCCTCCACCACTCGTAGGGCCACCCCCTGACCCCTTACCTAACATGCCCATCACTCTCTCTCTCTCTCTCTCTCTCTCTCTCTCTCTCTCTCTCTCTCTCTCTCTCTCTCTCTCTCTCTCTCTCTCTCTCTCTCTCTCTCACTCTACGCTCGCCGTAACAACACCCGTTCGCTACCGAGAACCCGGTTGCGCACGCACCCGTTCACTAGCTCCTCTTCGTCGTCGTCATCGTCGTCGTCGTCGTCGTCGTCGTCGTCGTCGTCGTCGTCGTCGTCGCCGCCGCCGCCGTCGTCGTCGTCGTCGTCGTCGTCGTCGTCGTCGTCGTCGCCGCCGCCGCCGTCGTCGTCGTCGTCGTCGTCGTCGTCGTCGTCGGCGCCGCCGCCGCCGCCACCGCCGTCGTCGTCGTCGTCGTCGTCGTCGTCGTCGTCGCGCGCCGCCGTCGTCGTCGTCGTCGTCGTCGTCGTCGCCGCCGTCGTCGTCGTCGTCGTCGTCGTCGTCGGCGCCGCCGCCGCCGCCGTCGTCGTCGTCGTCGTCGCCGCCGCCGCCGCCGCCGCCGCCGCCGCCGCCGCCGCCGCCGTCGTCGTCGTCGCCGCCGCCGCCGTCGTCGTCGTCGTCGTCGCCGCCGCCGCCGCCGCCGCCGCCGCCGCCGCCGTCGTCGTCGTCGCCGCCGCCGCCGCCGCCGCCGCCGTCGTCGTCGTCGTCGTCGTCGTCGTCGTCGTCGTCGTCGTCGTCGTCGTCGTCGTCGTCGTCGCCGCCGTCGTCGTCGTCGTCGTCGTCGTCGTCGTCGTCGTCGCCGTCGTCGTCGTCGTCGTCGTCGCCGCCGTCGTCGTCGTCGTCGTCGTCGTCGTCGTCGTCGTCGTCGTCGTCGTCGTCCAGCGCGACGCTACCGCCGCGTTGCGTCGCGCCGCGCCCCCAAAACGCCAGAGCGCTAGCTCTCCGCGGCCAATGGTTCTCATCGCATGGATCATCGCTGCAGGCGTTTCGACGCATCGACGCGATCATGCGACACGACAGCAACGAATTCGGGGGCCTTTGGGGAACAGCCGAAATTTTTAATAGACTTTAAGGCGAAAATCGGTCTATTCGAGATTACGCGTGGTTTACAGAGGAAATCTGATTACTGCGCGTATAATGATATAGAAACGACACAGAAGTCAGTATAGAAATCACACTTTTCCTCCTTATACATATGGTATGGTTCCATCCGATGATCCATCAGATAATGCAAATTTCTTCTCTCTTTTTTCGCGGGATCAAGAGTGTAAAAATAAGAATAGAGCTCGTAGGGGGGTCGTCATCACGGGGTATAGAAAAGAATGGAGAGGAATTAGTACGAGCTATAGTACGTACTTGACGGTTTAAAGAGTAGCCCTCCAGAGAAATTTTGCCGACGAAGGATGCGGCTTCGGTGGCCAATTAATTGCAGTAAGAAGCAAGAAGTGCTTCGATTCAAACCGGAGAACTGAATGTTTCGCTTCGATTACACGCAATGGTGTCTGTGTATATATGCGGTAAATAAGATAAATAACATAAAGCTCCGGAGAAGACGATGAACCTACTTATCGTATATGGATCTTCGTTCGTGACGAAGCGATGAGCGCTTATAGACAGCCTTTAGGCGCGCTGTCGTCGAAAGGTAAGACGTTGCGACCACGGAAGTATTGTTTTCATTATCCTATATATCGGGACGCGCGTGATTAAAAGTTTAAATAGAACTAGAACTCATTTCGCTCAATGTGTCGAAAAGCTCGTCGAAATGATTTACTTTACGAGAATTTACGAAACGAAATCTCCATCACATTCCATTGATTCCCTGCATCAATCGTTATTGATGTATCAATGATACGACCTCTTGATAGAATGCATCCATTACCCAAATACAGGGTGTCCCATTTTAAACCTCCCAGGCAAATATCTCGAAAAATATGGAAGATACGGAAAAATATTTTAGACAAAAGTTGCATGGTTTTAAGGGGGACATAAAACAACTATATTAGTTTGTTTACAGATAACGCCACTTTCGAGATATTTACTGATCGTTACTTTTCTTAAATGGAAATCCCAATTTTTTATTATATCATCTTTTTCTACCAATTAATTTGGACAATTTTTGTCTGAAAAGAGTAAAAAGGTCTAGTACCATCTTTCCTTCCGATAAACAGTTAGCGAGATATCGTAAGTTAAATATTGAAAAGGTTACCAAGTTTTCCTTAAATATCTAAAGAAATATTAGACAAATAAAAAAATGTTTCAGATAAAAGTTGTCCAAATTAATTGGTAGAAAAAGATGGTGTAATAAGAAATTGAGATTTCTTATTACACCATCTTTATGAAACACCATTTAAGAAAAATAGTGATGAGTGAATATCTCGAAAATGGCGCTATCTATAAATAAATTGATATAGTTGTTTCATGTCCCCCTTAAAACCATACATAAAACACAACTTTTGTTTGGAACATTTTTCCGTATCTTCCATATTTTTCAAGATATTTACTTGGAGGATTTAAAATGGGATACCCTGTATATATAGGTGTGACACATTTCATCATGAATATCAACGTATTAACATTTTATCGTCGGATATTCGTCGCGTATGTATCTCACATTGTAAAAACTGAATATATAAATCTGTAGTAAATCTCTATTATATATAAATCTGAATAAACTCGATACATATCCATTCTTTCCATGTTCTCTGTTATTGGTATCAACGATCCTAATTCCCTGAAGCCCATTACTGGGCGATGAGAGCACGACTATGGCAATCGACACCTGGGATAACAGAGAAAATTCCGAGCGCCGCGACTAAAATGTCAAAGGGATCCTTTATCGCTGCTTGTCATTACTGTCGGCAAAGAAGCAGTCGCTGAATATTCAAGCGGAGAAAAATTGAGAGTCACTGGCAACCGCCACGATCTGTGCTACTGGGCTACGCGTCTGCGCGTGCGCGCGCGCGCGCGTCACACGGCCGTTTTGCCTGTCTGTCTGTCTGTCCGACCGACCGACCGACCAACAGACCCCGACTCTCCACTATTACTCCCACAACTCCCTTTCTTTTCCGCTCGTTTCGGCCGTTTCGTGCCATCTCGCTACCCTCATTGCTCGCACCAGTAGGCCAAGCAGCGCCTTAGATTCGGCCGCCGCCGAGTCTCTTGGTTTACGTGATAATTACGAACGCGAACGCGCCGTTCGGTTTCTCCATGAGAAATTTCCAGCTCCGGAGGTGTATTCCCTCCGCCTTTATTCGGACGGATGACTGCTGAGACAACCCGAGGTCTCTTCTCGTTTCTTCTCTTTCCTATCCTCTTCTTCTTCGACTCTTTCTCCTTCTCTTTCACCTCCTTCTATTTTTAAAAGATATTTGCCAAGTTCGAGGACTTTTTGTCCTAGGAAAAGTTTGGAATTAAGATAACGGATACTGAACACACCACATCCTGCACACGTTGTCCTGGACCTACCGAACCATCTTTCGTATGGAGATTCCTTGACAAGCGCGGAATTGAATTTCTCCCTAACGAAAAAAGTCAAGGAATCGATAGTTTCTAAGAGAAGATCGAATGTACGATAGATATATGTTGTCGACGAGCTATGTTATTTGCTCTACCATTCAATACTTCCGAATGTTAAAAGAAACAAGTTTATACTAGAAAAAAATAGCCAAAAGATTTAAAAATATCTGATAGGTACTAATCACATATTTACTTATCCGATACACACTTTTTTTAAGCTGAGAACGATTTTTTCAAATAAGAAATGTACATCTTTTTAAAACTATAGCTTTATACATGGCATACAGCAAAGCAGTTGTTTATCCTGTTCAAATAAAAAGAAATTAAAACTTTAGTAAATATATTATTAGTAACCACGAAAAAAGATTTTTTTATCGTTAAATTTTTTCTTCAGTACACGTATAAATATTAGAGATACATACATGTGTCATTATTCTTGCTGCGATACTTATAACACGTATATTCGTCCAATTAGAATCAACTCTGTTTCTAATACGTTGACCCGGTTTCTCGCGAGGAGACAATAAACTCCCACGAAAATGGACTACATACTCTACAAATGAATTCAGATACGCGCCCGCTGTTGTATTTAAATATTTATTACTTTGTTAATCTTCCAAATTTTCAATTAATTCAAATCGCTTCAGAGACCAGCTTTTTGAGATCCAGATCTTTGAAAAAATTAAAAAAATAAATGTA